ATGTTAATAACAGCAGCTAGTGTAGCCTTTATACAATGTGTATGTGCACTTACTGAACAGCTTGTATTGTGAAATAATACTGGGGTTTATATTTAGCTGACTGATATTAAGATATCTTCTAGCGTTTGCTAACCTAGTGACTAGTTTACAGATAACATGCAGATGAACCATAGATATATTTGCTTGTTAGATGCCTGGGATGTGATGCAAGTGTATTTTAACTGTTTGACATTTTAGTGGTTTTGGCAGTTGGCAATAGAGGTGTATGAAGTTTGGAACTAATGAATTTCAGTTGGCGTTTATATTTTCTTTACTAACAGAAGCATAATCTGAAATATTGAGATGCACAATCAATGCAATTTATGCCCCCTTTATTCACCGCTATTAGTTAACTAAGGCAACACAATTTCATTCTTTCTTTATACATGCATATCTTTATTCATATTGGTGACTTATACCATACTTAGGGGTTGCATGGTGTGGAGTTTTTCTAAGTTAAAAAAGTAGTTAAGATTGCCTGCCAATTGAGATATCACCAAGTATATGTGTCAGAGAATTTCACAGTCTGGCTTTTTGGAATGAAAGTTCTTAGTACATATGGATAGATTCTATCCCATAGCCACTATGCTTTCCTTTGGTATTTTTTCTTTTGTTTGGAACCTCAGCACCTGTAGTATAAATTCCAATGTTTGCCATACATATATAAGTACTATATTAGTACTAGTACTAGTATATAATAAATGTGTATGTAGTATACCTATAAATATACTATATGTATATACACATATCCATTTGTTAGATGGATTTCTGTATTGATGTGGGAAATAACTTATTTATGTAATTAATTCCAACAGAATATCAGCAGAATACTGTTTTATTGATTGAAGAAGTCAGTTTTCATAGTGAAAATGCACTCAATTCAACTAATAAACGTTCATGTATTGAAACTTTCAGATCATAGCCATGCAAAGATTCACCCCAGTGATGGTTAGTACAACGTATACCCAGTATTTGGTGATTGTGCTGGCCACATGATATTTGCATGCTGTTTGAATCAGCATTGTAAACAATTAATTATCTTCTACTACAAATAGAGCACTAGTTATTTACCGAATATGTCTTCATTTGAGAAAGATACTTTTACAGATACAAAAATATCTTAATGTACCTGCCCATTCACTCATACCAGACAAATGTTTAGTGTATATGTATATTAAATAAAATAAAAAAAAGACTACTACATGTATTAAAGAAAACCTTTCAGCTTGTGGTTGTTAAAATGATGTTTTATCTGTGTTGCAGGAGAGAGCAGAGATGTGAGTGAGGTTTTAGCTGCAAAGTTCAGAGAGTCTGACTGGCACAAAAAGTGAGTTTAATTGATCAAAGGATTAAAAAATATTTTAACATGCCAACATATTTCTATTGTTCAATCTTTCACTATAATCTAAGTTTTGACCAATTGACAATAACCCTTAAATCAAATGCTAAGCAACTACATGTGATTTTAGTCAAGTCTAATGAACAATTTATTAAAGTTGACATGGAAGCAAACATAAGCTCATATCAGGGAGTTCTTGTGATTTATTTAGCTTATTCCAAGAGTTGACACCCATTGAGCAAACGTACATGTCCAATGTGGCAGCTGGCCAAGTGATCTACAGGGAGGTCGGATATGCTACTTCTTTTCCAACACAGGTAAGTATGTTGATGACTTGCTGTAGTGTGGAATAACTTTTTTCTCTATGCACAGGATTTTTGCATAGGATTAATTTTCATACTAGTAAAAGAAGTAAATGTAGCATATCTGCTGCAATATATTAAAAAAGAGTGTGTCAAGTTGCTAATTAAATGGTTATGATTCTGGGTACTGCTACTTCCTTGCCTTGTGCCTTGGTCACTCTACTAAATGACTCTTCAGTAGACGGAGCAGTGTATTTAGTTTTGAAGTATATGTTTTAGCAAACAAATATTTTGATGGATGCTATACCCAGGATGAGGTCCAAATGCGAATATTGAACTTAAACAATTTAAAAGAAAAAGGCACTGTCCGAGCAAAAGCATGTTTATTTATTTTCTTTGCATTTCATCTTTTCCATTTTTTGTGCATAAAAGCAGGCATCAAACTCATCTACTCTTGAAAGTTAAGAAAAGTTTTTCCTTTTAACCTGAACTGATGCTTTTAATTGTCTTAGCTTTGGAATGTGTCAAAGAGAACAGTGAAGAATATTATTGGGAATCCTCAGGCTAACTTACTCCAGGTAAGTACCATACATTGTAGAAAAATGAAAGAGATGGAACAAGACAATCTCGTTACAGGTCAGTTAGAAACTTGTAACCATATACAGGTACTTGAATGACATTTTATATAAAGGCACATGCTGAAGTTCATAATTGAAAACCAAGTAAATGAGTGAGTAATTGAAACATCTTTACTTTTTTAATTTTTTTATGAAGTCTTCTTGCATTTTGTCCCTTGTTTTCAAGTTGCATTTATACACGAATGATAGATGACAGCATTTAAAGCAATGTCTTTTTCCTTAGCATTTTTTTAAATAATTCTCTATGTTGCTCTTTGATTTTCAGTTTGTTGTTAATATCTTCTTGGGGGTTATAGTTGGTGCCATCTATTGGCAGATTGACACATCACTCAAATCTGGAATACAAAACAGGTAATTTCTGTATAGTATCTATTAATGGGCTTGTGCAAGGTTATTTCAATTCATACTAGTATGTAGTATATTTATAATGCCATTTTACTATTATGTGTGGTCAGAAGAAACATTTGGTTCCAGTCAACAACATATAATACTTGGTTGATGTAGACTGCTGTAATCATATTATTAAGGAGTGGCAAGGGAAGTGGTGGATGATTTTGGAAAGAAAAAATAATACATAAGCTTAATGAAACAATTAAGGAGAGGAAAATGAGTGATATACAGTCTTTAAGCACCACTTTGAGATTTCTGTATTTTTGATTTCTGATTATTTCAGAGTTGGTGCCTTCTTCTTTATCGTGATGAATATGGTATTTTCAAATTTATCAGCTATTGAACTTTTTTTAAAGGAGAGAAGCATATTCATGTAAGTTTTATGCTATGATAACACTCATTAATACTTTGTTAGCAGGATTTAATTCAGTGTCACAGATATTTGTTTTAGAATTGCACTGGTGACGCAAGTTTGAAAATTGTGTTTTGTAATGAAAATTATTTAAAAACATTCTAAGAAGTAATTAAAAACTTAACTATCAAAATATTTCTTTCATCTTAGGCATGAGAATGCAAGTGGGTTCTACAGAGTGTCTGCATATTTTCTTGCCAAAGTTTTTTGTGATCTGATTCCTAGGACCACGCCAGTTTTGCTGTTCTCTGCCATCAGTTACTGGATGATTGGTATGAAACATTTTATCTGTAATTGTATAGACAGTCAGTGAATGGATTTGCCAGTGACTTCAGTTGTTACTCAATCTTTTCAATTGGAAAAATTGTGAATTTTACAGATGCTGTACATTCTTAAAATTAGAACTGTTACATTGCTGTTGAGTGTTAGCATCAAAATGGGAAGGCAGGCTACCATATAGGATTCTTTTTCTATTGTGTACAGTTAAAGCACCACAAATGCTTTATAGAAATATAATTTTTAATGATTCCAAAATCATGAATATTAAAAATTGTAAATCTTCTCCATATATAGAAAAGATCAAGTCATTACCATTATTGTCTATATTGGAGTTGAATGGTTAAATAAGGAACTGTCATTTGATTTTTTAATCTTCTGGTTTATTAAAAATTTTAATGATTTCAGATCCCACTTTAAATATTAAAAAAAAATGTTTTAATCAAAGGGTACAGACTTTAAACTTAAATGCATTATTCATTCTAGGCCTTCAAGCAGATGCAGGGAAATTCTTTTTCTTCACACTCAACCTGGTCCTCACTACATTGACAGCCTCAGCTTATGCTTTCTTTGTCAGTGCGTCAGTCAGAATTATAGCCATTGCCAACCTTCTCATTGCCATGACATATGTTTTTATGATGGTGAGTAAAATGTATAAACATATTAATACCTGCTTCAAGACTGAGTAATATATAACAATCTCTATCAGAAATAAAGAGATTATTCAGGTAAGCATGCCGATTATACAATGAGAAGTTCTATAGACATACGTGTATTACATGTTGACAAGTTTTTAAGGTAATTAAAAATAAGACACATTGAGAACTTGGTGAGGTATTTAGCTAATGTAGATCTAAAACAGATATTCAAGGTGGCAGGGTGAGTTGACTAGGAGGTCAACTCACTAAAAATAATTGACCTCTTGTCACTGCACTGTGGAATGGTAAACATTAAATTGATCATGTAACAAAGATATTATACATTTGCCAAACAGTGTGGTACTTATATTAGTGTGAAAACATTGCCTGTCAGAGTTACTTTGACTTTTATCAATTAAACTGAAGCAAGAATTGATGAGGAAGGAATAGGCAATGCTACAATATATGTGTCAGTTATGCTTCTTTATCTAGATGGCTCCATGCAATGATTTCAGTCTTTCCCTCAGAAAATATTACTTAAGCAGAAATGCAGTGATTGCCATTAGCTAACCGCAGTGGTAAAGAGGAAGGATACAGTAACATTAAATGTGTAGTGCTTGGAGGAAAACGGAAAGTCCCTCTTCACCCTATCCAGACAAAACAGTGCAATATGGTATACTGGCAAACACATGCTTGAAGCCCCGCCCCACCACACACATTTAGAACGAACAAATCATTTTGATCTATAAATGGCATTTATTTGCATTTTATTTTATTTTTTTATTTCTTCAGATCATTAATGTATGTCGCAAAACTGATTATGTCATTTTTTAAATATTGCTGACACATTATTTAAATGTGCTAAAAATATTTTAAAAGCTTCTGAAAAACACCCTGGTCAGTTATATAAAGATATATATCATCCTTCTTCAAATATCTTAACTATAAAAAACTTCATTTAATTCATATTTTTTAAAAATTTCTTTAATATTTTAAAATTTAATTTAAAACTTTCAAACTGGGTTGGATAGGGCAAGGTGTATGGATTGCAAAAGGGAATAGTCCATAAAGCAGTTGATCTTCACCTGTTGTACTGGCGTCATAGAGATTTTCAGTTATTTGGATTTCTACGTATTATTTAAATTTAGGTCCAAACCATCATTCGTTCCTGTTTTAATAAAAAATTGTTTATTGTTCTTGCTATTTTTTCTATCTCCTTCAATGCAAAAAATAATTAACATCAGTATTTAACACATGCTAAGGCAATAGTCCTTGTGTGGTACAGGTCCCAAATTACAAAGCTCTCACTGTTCTGGTTTATGAATAAAGCTTTCTCACAAGTTCTTTCTCAACTACATCTTTGTCAATTTCATCATAATCTGTGGCCTGTATGATTACTTTCACACCATCAAATTTCTTCTGAAGTGCATCTCTGCTGCTGGCATACACCATTTTTTCTTTGGTCTTGGCATTTTCTGGTGACCTAGAAAAAAAAGGGTCTTAAAATGTTTCATTTTGGAAGATAAAACTAACATTCTACTGATTTATTTTTCTTATGCAGTTGTACTTGCATTCCCTTTGAGGACTAATTCCCAATGAAACTATCAATCTACATAGATCAATCCAACTCCACGGGGACTCTTGCTGAATGCAATCATTTTTACAGATTAACATGCCTTCTCTTGTTTTCAGGACTTATTTTTATCTTCTAATTTGATTGCAAATCTACAGAGTTGGATCGATCTACGTAGAATGGTAGTTTCACTGTGAATGAACCCTCAGCTGTGGGTGCTATGCATGTTTAATTGAAGGGGGAGATTGTGTGTGCATGCTTCAGTAAATCAGATGGGTGCACCTCAACAGTTCAAAGGTTCACTGCTCTGAAAATACTATAACATTTTCATGATTTTTTTTTAAATAAAAATGTTCATTGGTGTGAAGTATCTATGATGAACATTTGAACTTTCAGACTATTAATCCTTTGGACTTCTGTCATGCACCCAGTCAGATCACCACCTCTACTCACCAGGCAATAAACACAATACCCTGTCTGGGATGACCAGCACTGTCTCTACAGCAGAAATCAAAGAGACCATAGCGGCATTCATTTGCCTTTTCTGCCTCTCTCAAATGCTCTGTAAACTCCTCAAACAAAGTTTCTACAAAAAAAA